AGCTCAAAGGCCTAAAATAAAGGTGGTTTTGTGGTAATTTTACTATTAAGATAATACATTTATGTGATTTGTTTTATAATGCGATATGTATATTATTTTGACTAAATATAATAATGGGTATACTTGAGCTAATTAGCGCCTATCCACCTCAGTCTATGCTGTTCACTAAAAGCTATCAAACCGAGGAGGCACGTCTGCTAGGTATTATTGGATATCCTTTTGATTTTTCCTTAGGCAAAAGTTGGCCTTCCCACTTTTCTCCAGGCCCGCCCTATTCAACATTTCTGCCTACGTCCCTGGTCCAGGCCCGTCTGAAGTTTGCCAGAGAACATGGATGATACAGCAGAGGATTGGGAGAATGTCATGTGGTCAGATGAAACCAAAGTAGAACTCATTTCATTTCATTTCATTTCATTTTTTTCATTTCATTTTCAACCCCTTTGTCCATTTCTGGGTCGGGGGGGTGGCAATGAGAGCTGCCACCCAACGCTCATAGCACCAGTCCCTCGCTGATCTTCTGCAGGGGGTGAGTCCACAGGAAGATGGCTGCTCCGTCATTTGTGAAACAGCCTTGATCTTTCAGCGGGGGCTTCAGGCAACGTGGGGTTAAGTGTCTTGCCCAAGGACACAACGACAGCAGTCATCAGTGGGAGCAGTTGGAGTAGGTCCCATGGTGGGAATCGAACTCACGACCTCCAGGCCCAAAGGCCAATGCTCTACCAACTGAGCTACTGTCGCCCCTCAAAATAGAAAGTACCAAAGTATACCAAAGTAGAACTGTTTGGTATAAACTCAACTCGTCGTGTTGCATCCCAAGAACACCATACTTACTGTGAAGCATGGGGGTGGAAACGTCATATTTTTGGGGCTGTTTTTCTGCTAAGGGGACAGGAGCTTTGAAGATGAAACGTGGCTGGGTCTTCCAGCATGACAATGATCCCAAACACACCGCCCGGGTAACGAAGGAGTAGCTCCGTATGAAGCATTTGAAAGTCCTGGAGTGGCCTAGCCAGTCTCCAGACCTCAACCCCATTGAAACCCCCCATTGTTGCTCGGCGACAGCCCCAAAACATCACTGCTCTCGAGAAGATCCGCATGGAGGAATGGGCCAAAATACCAGCTGCTGTGTGTGCAAACCTGGTAAAGACCTATAGTAATCGTTTGACCTCTGTTATTGCCAACAAAGGTTATATTACAAAGTATGGAGTTGAATTTTTGTTATTGACCAAATTCTTATTTTCCACCATAATTTACAGTTGAAGTGTACCTATGATGAAAATTATTATAGGTGGGAGAACTTGCACAATCGGTGGCTGACTAAATATTTTTTTGCCCCACTGTATGTTTACCCAGGCTTGGTTTCTTCTTTGATCATTTTCTCGCTTTAGTTCCCTCTTCTCTTCCTCACTATTGTAGCGTTCGGGCTGTTTTGCTGTGTATGCAGTTACAGCAAGAGGAGTTCTCCTCCTGCTCTTGCCGAGGTCAGACGTGTCTCCTACTGCTCCTGCTCTGCTTGCCCTGACTGTCTTTTTTCCTAGAGTTCTGCCTGTGTGCAACTTGAAAATGATGAAATTAATCAACTGGTCCCTCAATGCAATTGATACTATTTTTTCATCGCGTAAAGGCGGTTCTGGAGATGCCGTCTGTCCGGATGGTACGGCGGCTGCTGGGTAAGTTTTTGACAACTGGCAGAAGTGGCAGTTGTATATATCCTCAAGTGAAGACATTGAGGATATATACATTTTTGGATTTATGGTAGCAGGGTTCCTCCTGATTGGATTTGGAGTTGGCCTGATCTACCGCAAAGTTGGAGGGCTATCTACTCAGAAGATTTACGAGCAGATTTCCATGGAAAACAAGGAGAATTTTCAAGAGCTGGTCGAGGTCGAGAGCCCTGTGGGGACACAGAGGTGTGTGATACAGATCGAACATTCCCTTAAAGATCTGGGAATGAGATTGATGGAAGGACATAAGCGTTTGGAGGGATTGATTGATGGACTTGGGCCTCATGGCGGCTCCTCACACTGACGTGGTCAACTCTGGAGAACTGTGGACAGAGGGATCCAGTTCCAGTTTTTAATTTGGACTTAATTGGCTTTAAAGTTACACTGCCTGATTTGACCAGCTAAAGTGCTTTACAAATTCTCCCAAAGGCATATGTGTGTTGTTTTGTCTCCATGTCTGCAGGCACCGCTCTTATCTACTGACCTTCATATTCCACTACCCAAGGCCGAAAGATGGACTCTCTCTCATAATTCACAGACTCCCTCAGTATACCAGTTGTTTGGCTCACCCCTCCCTCTACATGTCTGTCTCTCTCTCCTTCAGTCTACGGTGGTCTTCCCCTCCACCTCCCCCACCCACACTCCCCCTCTGACACGCCATATTGGACGAGGTGCGTCAGAGTGACAATGTCCCTTTAAAAAGATCTGCATGCTTTCCCGCATCTACTGTTTCCATCCAATTATGTCAGTTGAAATATATGTTTCAACAGAGAAACATATAAATCTCTGCAGTTGAATAACTGTCATAAGGAGCGTGGAAATATGTTATTTTCATCGAACTGAATTTCTCCATCTGTGAGACAATAAAGGATTGATTGATTGATTGATTGTTATAGCCAATTCTCCTAACATGCTACTGTTTTTAGCAACGCTGCCTTGTTCTGTGAGTGGAGCAGGATGAGCGGCCCACTAAGTCTCTACTCAGCACTTTTATACGGCCTGAGTTCATACACAGCTGAATCAATGAGCTCAAGTTATCAATCAAATTACGGTTTATAATACAACTTGTATGTAGTAATAAGCATTTTTATGAACTCATTAGAAAAAAATTGGGTATAGCTTCTTTAACTCCTATTGCTGCACTGGTCGGTTCTGTAACTGTATGACTTGGCAACATCATAGCAAAAGAAAAGAGAGCCCTAAAGAAGGTTCTCTGGTTTGCAAAGAAAAAGCTCTGAGCTGGCTGTGCAGGAGCTTAACCCATTGAGGCCGGGAATGCATTCCCGCATTTCTACCTCTCAAGCCGGGAGTGCTGTTTCCAAGCCCCGGCGATCCAAGATGGCGCCCTATTCAAATGAATGGTTGTGCTCAGTGGCGCTTTGTGACGGCATGGGGCTGAAAGATTAGCGGAAGTCGCCTGGAACTCGCAAAGATCCATGGGAAACTCGCCCCTGTATTTGGGCATCGTCTGGTCCTCCTGGTTCTGCGCAGTGGATGATCTCCCATAATGCGTTGCGCCAAACACGCGTGTGTGTTCTGTCCGCGTTATTTGTGCACAAAAGTAAAACGTTGTCCCTGTCAGTCATTATTTGACTTTTTGGGCTGAGAGTTTTATTTTATTTTCTTTTTCACATATTTAGTGCCAGTTTATTTCCAAACTCTTGTTGACTTATTGTATTGAGAAACATGTGTTATTCTTACATTATTTTTGGTTGTTTTATTACCTTTCCTGTGTGGAAGTTGTATATTTATTTTTATTATTCTACTGAAGGTTTATAATAATACTCTCCATGCTCACTGGAGGCCATAGGTGTCAGCTCTCAAATAGTTTTGGAATTATGTTTCTATCTGCAGCAGAGGCTGAGATATCAATCATTTAGTAGACGTTGAATTTCAGGAAAACTTCAGGTTTTAGAGGGTGATTCCAAAGTCAGCCATAGGTTTTACAGGTATGTTTTACCAGGTGTCTCAGGCCTTATGGGTTAATTAATGAGCTCTTGATATAATCAATGACTCTTTTGGCCAACCTGAAAAAGCGATGTTCTTCGCTCTGGCAAAAGATATAGTTTGCTGAAATGCAGGACATCTCGTTATGACACAATTCAATTCAATTAATTTTTTTCTCCTATAGCCCTAAATCACAACAGTAGTCATCTCAGAAGACTTAATAAAACCGTTGAAATCTCAGATAAGAGAATCAAACAGTTCAAACACAAAAAAATATAGAACACATAGGTATTGGTTCATAGGGGGAGTTGGACCATAGTCCATGAATGTTGATAAATATCCATACATGTTGTAGAACGTTAGAGTGTCCTGGATCATCAGTCCTTCTAGCTAGACCACTAACAGTGAACACTCTCCTGTTCTAGCTGTTATCAGTTTGAACAAAGTACTTACAATTTCACTTGCACTTGTTATTAAAGGACAACTGAACACCAAATCAACTTTTTCTGACTTATAAACTCCATACATATGTTTCTTATTGTGCTCTCAACATGTCCTAGTCATTTTTTTTTGACACTTTTGAGCCTAAAACCATCTCTGTGGCACCCTCTCTAACTTTTTGGTGGCACTACATTTGAATTTTGAGCCTGCACTCTCCATTGGCTCTGGAGTACTGTGTGATGTCAGTTGGGACGGTGTGACGTGCGTCTCTCTGCGCCAGTGGTATAAAACCCATTCAACTCTCACACGCCCCAGTAGCAGGTCGGAGTATTCTGGCGACATCTCGTGGATCAATATTAAATTACATCAGTTGACAGCCACTACTGCTGAGATAATTCTGTGGCTTATGTTCAAGTGTGAAGCTGTAGCTCTACAATTATCTTAGAGTGTAAAAAAAGAGTGGAAGGAGACTTTCTAGTGTGTAAACTATGGCTTTAAGCAGCAATGACAACTGTCTGTTATTTGTGTGTGTGACAAGCGAGCTGTCACAGCCCAGACAACGCCCAGCACCCCTTCTCGTCCCCTGGTTCTCCGAGCAACACCTTTTTTAGAGAAAATGTTCATACGTTCATGTGGGCGGAGTAAGGCTGGTCACAGGTGTTTAGTCGCTCTTTAATGAAGCTGTGGTTTCACAGTAACAATTGTTTCCTGTACTTTTTAGCTTGTTTTATTCCTGTACTTATTTAGCTTGTTTTTCTCATGTACTTGTCTGGTGCATATTGGGGTACTTTTGCACTTTTATTCCAATGTGGTTTTACTGCTAATAGCCAATTAATCTGATAAATAACACAGCTTTAAAAGCTGGGGGACGTAGCTTCAGGGTTGTACCGTCTTTTCTGTAGCAGTGCTCCAGCTCAGTTCGGTGCATAGAGGAGTCCAGGACTTCGATCAGACCCAGGGTCCCATCCATGCGGCCCACCAGCAGCAGATCTTTGGGCTCTCCACACCACAGAGACTCGACCTCCTCTCGCGGCCAAGCAAGCGCAGAGACCCAGTGAGGCTGCACATCCAGGAGGCCCTTCCCCCCTACAACCACATTATAAAGTAGAGATGAAGAAGGAGTCCCCATACAAGTGTCAAAGGGAAACTCCCACTGAACACCCTTTTGCTCACACGTGGCTCAGGGGGAAAAGGTTCAAACTACACAAAAGTCACACCAGGGACACTCACTCTCTGGCGTCTCACTCTGTCTAACTGTCGTCTCACTCTGTCGTCTCACTCTCTCTATGGTCTCCCCAGGTCAAGAACACTGGTCTTTAGTGTATAAAATTTACCATTAACTTGCCAGATGTTGACCAGTTTGTCCATAGCCGAAGCCAGGTACCTCCCAGTGACACTCCAGGCCAGAGGGGACAGAGAAGGGTCACTGGGGGATCCCAGACCGGACATCCCCTCCTCAGAGGACCCATCACTGCAACATATGCACATGGTTACAGGGTCAGAGGTCAGACATTGGGAGGTGGTCAGTATAGGCTCACCTCTTGGTGAAGATGCAGGTCTGCTGCAGTGTGTACTGGTTCTTAGTCACAGTCCACAGTCGCACCGTGCCATCGTTTCCACTGGTCGCCAACTGCCCTTTTCTACTGGACCAGCCACATGTGATGACCTGTGAGAGGAGAGGAGGAGAAGGACCACATGTAATAATCTGTGAGGGTAGGAAAATGAGGAGCACATGTGATCATCTGTGTACAGAGAGAACAAGGACAACGAGGAGAAGCAGATGTAATCATCTGTGAGGGGAGGAGTAGGTGTGACCATCTGTGAGTGGAGGAGGAGCAGATGTGATCATCTGTGCGAGGAGGAGGACCACATGTGATCATTTGTGAGAGGAGGAGCACATGCTCTAGTGACCTAAGCCCCAAATGACTGAGGTAAGGCTCACCCGGCTCTGGTGGGCCTCGAGTTTGATGCATGAGCACTTCCTCAGGTCTCCTGCCATGTCGGCGTATGTCTGCGGACGGTTGTGGCTGTTGTCACGGTCGTGTGCGGCGAGCGTGCGCACCAACTGCTGCGCCGCCCACTGCCGGTGCTGCGATGACAGGCGCGCGGACAAGCAACAGGCCGCCAGAGCATTGGCCAGCTCCAGGGGGCCTACAGCGGGAGGGTTATAGGAAGGGTGGGCATACAAGTGCGTGATTAGACCTGATCAGACGGGACAAGAGGTGAAAGATGAGAATAAGTGAGGGGAATAAGCAAATCAAATTTCAACAAAAACACACACCCATAGTACTGTAGAAAAGAACAAGGTACAATTTCAATTGGTCTTTGTCTCATAGACTCAATGGCCCACATTTATGAAACTTGCGTACGGCCAAATCTGGATGTAAATGAGGCGTACGAAAAAAAAAAAAACGTTTTGGCATTTATCAACATGGAATATGGTACACACAAAATATACACTAGAGTCAGAAGGAGCCGTAAATGTACACCCATCTCAACCTTCATCACAACACGCAAAAAACATGCATGAAATTCAAGATTTGGACAGCAATAAACATATTCTCACTCTGGCAAAATTATAAGCTGCGTTTCCATTGAGCATCAAATGTCGAAATTTGAATTTGAGCAGCAGCAGGAAACACGCAAACTTCGAATAAATCTCAGTTCATGATGAGGAGGACCCTCTCCTGTTTCTTCATTTTTAAATCCGACTTGCATGTGTGTTATTATTGTATGGGCGGCACGGTGGCTGAGTGGATAGCACTCTCGCCTCTTAGCAAGAAGGTCCTGGGTTTGATTCCCGGTCGGACCAGGGCCTTTCTGAGTGGAGTTTGCATGTTCTCCCCGTGTCTGCGTAGGTTTCCTCCGGGTACTCCGGTTTCCCCTACCACTAAAAATATGAACAATAGGTCTGGCATGCTCCTCCTGTACTGGCAACCCCGCTCCCATCTGTGGAGCCCATGCCCAAAAACAACAATTGTAAACCGCTTTGTGACTCTGGTCTGTGAAAGGTGGTATATAAATAAAGATTACATACTACTTACTTATTTTTATCTGTATGTTTTTTAAATGTGCAGTGCTTTGTGATCCTGGTCTGTGAAACGCGCTATACAAAGACACTTTACTTACTTGTGTGTGACCCATCTGCATTTTTGCCTTCTTGGCGGCCCAGGCATGTTATTTGACGTTTTTTAGTTTCTTTATACCAGGGGTCAGCAACTCGAAAGATTCAAAGAGCCATATTTGACAAAAAAACTAAAAACAACATCTGTCTGGAGCCTTGTATAAGGCTTATATGAAGGTAACACAGGCTGAAGCTGTATTAGCTATATTAGCCTAATATCTAAATGATAAAGTAAAGGCTACAAATACATAATAAGCATTCATGATTATCACATGTGTATTTTCACTGCAGCGTGTCCTGGAGAGTGACGCACCACGTGATGACTCTGCTTTAAGTTTAACTTCAATTTTTTTGCCTTCATGCAATTGTAGAAATACAGTAAATAAATCTGCTTTTGGCTCAGAGTTCACACACCTGCATCACAGTCTGCTCATATCAATCAGAGGCTGAAGTTGGCTGGAGCTGAATGTCCTTAATGGCCGTTTCTTTCACCGTCTTTGCAGAAGTTTTCGAAGTCTGAAAGTAGGTGCTCTGAATTTTTGAGGAATTAATACTTCACGTAATCACCGTGAACGGTGTTTAGCGCTTCATTGTTCCTCGTGTTGCAACAAAACTTCTCATTACAAACATGAAGCAGTCCTTCCTCATTGATTGTAAACAAATGTTTATTGTTGTTCTTAGTTCAGTCTTATTATCGACTCTTTCTCTTTTTAGCTTTGGGATCCATGTGCACACGCCGGTTTGTTTACAACAGCAGCCGCCTGGCGCGGGGCCACGCCACAGGATATGACGCACTACGTTGACAGAAATGTTGAAATTGAATATTACTTACGCACATTATTACAGCATTTAAAAACTTTAAGAATGTTTTTCTTCCTACAGAAACCACAAACTAGAAAAAAAATATATATAGCCATTTTATATATTATATATATATATATATATATATATATATATATATATATATATATATATATATATATATATATATATATATATTTTAATATACTCCATTTTCAGACATTTTTGAAAAGGCTCCAGGAGCCACTCGAGGAGCACTAAAGAGACGCATGCGGCTCCAGAGTCGCAGGTTGCCGACCCCTGGTTTATACAGTTTGTGGAAGCAAATACTGTAGAGGATCAGGATGTATGTAGTTTCAACAATTGAAATAAAGTGCAATAATCTACATTACAAGAGAGTAATAAACATGTCTCAGAGTGAGGGAGGTGGACACAGACAACACTATTGTTTGTTACAGGGATGAGAATCGGTCAAAAAAGTCTGAAATGCATAATGTCAGCCATTGGCTGGCTCTATATCTGTTTGATTTGTTCACAACATTTTACTTTTAGGCACAAACAAACTTTTAATGCAATGGAAAATTTAGGTTCCTGAGCTTTAATTTAGGGAGTTTAGTCGCTTCGAGAGGAGAGGGGAGACGCGGACTGTTTCCTGCAGAGGTGTATTTATTGGGTCCACAGATTACGCAAAGACACGCATGTTGTGTTGTGAGCGGTTCCCGTGTCCAGCTCAGAGCTGCTGGACACGGGAACCGCTCATTACAAAGCGGCCGCAGCTTCCCCGGAACACTGCGACCGCTGAGGTGGCGGAATCCCGTTTGAGTACATACAGCAGGTACCCCGCGGACACGCGCGCCCCCCTCGAACAATTGTCAACAGATTTACACTTTTCACAAACATGTTTTTTGTATGAGGCAGACGGGCCAGCCCAAATATGGGCCATCTGTGGCTCCGTAAATCTGTGGCAGGCCCTGCGCTGCGTAAATCTGTGGCAGGCCCTGCGCTGCATAAAACAATGGCTAATTGTTTTGCCTCATTAACATCTGGCAAAGAAATTTAGTTGTTTTATTAGTTTTGTGCATAAAGCCTCACACACCCCATAAATGCACCAATGGACTGTAGTCTTGCTGACTCCAAAGGTCTGCCCTGTACTCCGCATCTAACCAGTTTATCGATAGGTTGGCAACGCGCTTATCAGTGGAAACGGGCTCTTTGGCAGGGGCTGTCTTGGGCAGTGCGTGTCACAGGCCTTTAGAGAACTCCAAACAGTCCTCCTGGCCTTCTTCCATTCAGCTATGCCGCAAAAACGGGGCGTGAAACAGGCAGTTGCTGAATATTTATAGACGTTACTTTTATAAATACGTTCGTTTTCAGCCACATTTATCAACATGGAATATGGTACACACAATTCCTTATGCTCGGATCTGGGCAATTCTCGCATATTCATAAATCCCACGTTGGATCTTGCGTATTTGGAATATACACCCAAAATATACACCCATAAATATGGGCCAATAATTACACACCACATCTTTATCACAGTACTGTGAGTGTAACAGATGCTTTATGAAATATGTGAACTAAAACCATATGAAAAAACAAAATTAACATTGTTATCAGATAAGATAATCTGGGCAGTGGATCCCAAGTGAAAAGCAATACATGTACACTGGTCCCTGATTTATCACAGGAGTAATGTGTTCTAAAAATAACCCACAATAAGTGAGAGAGACCAGAGAGGGGCCAGAGAGAGACCAGAGAGAAAGAGAAGAGAGAGACAAGTGGCAACAGAGAGACTAGAGAGAGAGACCAGAGAGAGAGCCCAGCGAGAAGCCAGAGAGAGATACCAGAAAGAGACAAGAGAGAGACCGAGGGAGAGAGAACAGAGAGAGATATACTTTCTATGGTCCAAAATAACAGTGTCATGAATGGGTGATAGATGCGATCCGATTTGAGACCCACTGGTTTAAAAACAGTGAAACAGACACACCTGTACAGTGGGGCAAAAAAGTATTTAGTCAGCCACCGATGGTGCAAGTTCTCCCACTTAAAATAATGACAGAGGTCTGTAATTTTCATCATAGGTACACTTCAACTGTGAGAGACAGAATGTGAAAAAAATATTTATTTGTAAATTATGGTGGAAAATAAGTATTTGGTCACTTCAAACAAGGAAGATCTTTGGCTTTCACAGACCTGTAACTTCTTCTTTAAGAAGCTCTTCTGTCCTCCATCTGTTACCTGTATTAATGGCACCTGTTTGAACTCGTTATCTGTATAAAAGACACCTGTCCACAGCCTCAAACAGTCAAACTCCAAACTCCACTATGGCCAAGACCAAAGAGCTGTCGAAGGACACCAGGAAAATAATTGTAGACCTGTACCAGACTGGGAAGAGTGAATCTACAATAGGCAAGCAGCTTGGTGTGAACCAGGGACGTGCGGTGAGGTTTGTGATTGGGGAGGCACTGACTTTAAAAGTCAGATTTACAATCATTATTCAAATAAAATAGCATTTAATCACCAATGCAATGACATCCACAAACTTTATATACTGTAAAGATAAGAGAACCAGCTTCTTTTAATAATCTCACAACAAAATCTAGCTGCTGACTCTGCTCCGCATCAAACAACATCTTTAAGAAGCGCAGGTGCGAGAGACGCGAGGAGAGAGAGACGCGAGGAGAGAGGAGCAGAGAGAGACAGAGAGGAGCAGAGAGACGGAGACGCGAGGAGCAGAGAGAGACGGAGACGCGAGGAGAGAGAGACGCGAGGAGAGAGGAGCAGAGAGAGACAGAGAGGAGCAGAGAGACGGAGACGCGAGGAGCAGAGAGAGACGGAGGAGCGCGAGGAGCAGAGAGAGACGGAGACGCGAGGAGAGAGACGCGAGGAGAGAGAGACGCGAGGAACATAAACAATAATTTAAACAAGTTGCAGAACTCTTGAGCAGTGTTTGAATCAGTGTTTTTCGGAAAAGCACTACTTTGCCGGTATCTGTCAATGTTCAACATAAAACACAGATTAACAAACTCCTCCCCCGCAGCCGGACTAACCTCGTAAGTCCAGTGGTGGTCTCCCAGTCTATATTAATTCTTTCTTTGTTTGAAAGTCCAATTGAGAAAAAAAATCTTCATTCAAATCATCCATTTTCCAGCAAAAGAAATAGCATTTTGGGCTGATTGTTTGTTAGCAACTCTGGTATGAACTTTATGCTCACTATCACCCCTAGCGGTGAGGCACAGATACCGCCTGCCTCACGCCAAGCTTTTTCCTTGTGTGTTCATCTACGATCAAAAGACTTAAACTAAATATAAATTGTACACACATACGTGCAATACACTACTAAACACTAAGATGAGTTTAAAAAATGTTTTTAAAGCAGGATATTTGAAACAAACGGTGATATATCAACTGCACGAGCTGAGTGCACTCAGACACACACACACACACTGTGAGGGAGCGGTCTGGGGTGAGGCACGCAGGAGCGCTGCCTCACCTCGTCTCTTTGAATAGGAATAACGGGATTTCGGCGATTTTGACTTCAGAAATGATCAAAACTGATGGGAACCGTGCCGAATATACATTAAAAGCATAGGACAGTGGATATAAATTATATATTTAAACTAAAATAATTATTAGTTTCCAATAATGGCAGGTGAGGCTCTGCCTCCCCTGCCTCCCCTGACTGCACGTCCCTGGTGTGAACAAATCAACTGTGGGAGCAATTATCAGAAAATGGAAGACATACAAGACCACTGATATTCTCCCTCGATCTGGGGCTCCACGCAAGATCTCATCCCGTGGGGTCAAAATGATCATGAGAACGTTGGTCAAAAATCCCAGAAACATACGGGGGGACCTGGTGAATGACCTGCAGAGAGCTGGGACCAAAGTAACAAACGTGGCTGGGTCTTCCAGCATGACAATGATCCCAAACACACCGCCCGGGCAACGAAGGAGTGGCTGCATAAGAAGCATTTGAAAGTTCTAGAGTGGCCTAGCCTGTCTCCAGACCTCAACCCCATTGAAAATTTGTGATGGTGGGAGTTGAAAGTCTGTGTTGCTCGGCGACAGCCCCAAAACATCACTGCTCTCGAGAAGATCTGCATGGAGGAATGGGCCAAAATACCAGCTACTGTTTGTGCAAACCTGGTAAAGACCTATAGTAATCGTTTGACCTCTGTTATTGCCAACAAAGGTTATATTACAAAGTATTGAGTTGAATTTTTGTTTTGACCAAATACTTATTTTCCACCATAATTTACAAATAAATTCTTTAAAAATCCTACAATGTGTATTCCTGTATTTTTTTTCACATTCTGTCTCACATATGAAGTGTACCTATGATGAAAATTACAGACCTCGCACAATCGGTGGCTGACTAAATACTTTTTTGCCCCACTGTATCTGCACACACCTCTTTTTTCATTGTCGGTCTTGTCGTAGCCTGGTCGTAGCCGGGCCCCCTTATCAGCGAGCAGAGCCACTAGTGCCTGAGTCACCACAAAGTTTGGAGACGTGATGAGTTTGTTCTCCTCTGCAACTCCTCGCAGGAAACTGGGAAGAAACTTTCTCTGGATGGGATCGTCCACAGTGGTCAAGTTCATACCAGTCGCTGCAGAGATCAGGTTCTAGACCAAGAGACACAAACAACATGTCAATAGTCGCTTTTCCACCGCAGGGGCTCCTGGTAAAAAGAGGGGGGTGGGACATCTACAGGAACCGTCCTCTCAATCGGCCCTCTCAGTGGCCTTGTTTCCACTGCAGACTAGGACCCCTCAACGTCATGAGTTTCGATTGCTGCAAAATCAATAATTATTCATTTTTTACGGTCAGTCCTGCTTCAGTTTTTTTTTTCAAGGCATTGTTTCGGAGTGTGATGAATCCCCAGTGCGTCGAGGTGCGCTAATATGTCCTGATATGCCTCAAACTCCGTCTGATTATCTGTCCATTTATTGTACATCTTGCTGTTGTTGTTTACCGTTTCCAGTGGTGTCTGCTAGGCTAATGCTGCTGGATTTTAAAAAGGCCGTTTGTTTTGGTGTTTGCTGATGGCGTCAGAGCCTGCTCTAGCTTTAGCCACTGGTGTTTATTTTTAGTTTCCTTTTTTATGCTCTGGCCTCTTGCTCCGCTCTCTCGTGCTCTGGTCTCTCTCTCACTGGTCTCTCTCTCCGGTCTCTCCCTCTGGTCTCTCTCTCTGGTCTCTCTCTCTGGTCTCTCTCTCTGGTCTCCAGTGTGTACCTGAGTGCAGAGCTGGACCAGCAGCTTGGCAGCGTTAGGGCTGTTGGAGGCCAGGCAGCCCACGGCGGTGCTGAGGTAGGCCAGGCAGGAGATGGGTTTGCTGGTCTTAGCTGCTCCGCGGGGCCTCTCGTTGGGACCAGAGGGAGGACTGGTAGAGAGTCCGGCTCGTCCTGCTGCTGCTAAACACATGAGTCTGACCAGAGTCCGGATGTCGGTGAGACCCAAAGACTCGAGGCCTGCGGCCAGACTGCAGCTGGAGCCACTGCACAGAGAGGAAACAGAAACATGTGGACCAGAGTGAAGTTTACCGTATTCATACAAGGAACTTTTGTGAGTCAAACCGAATTTGTTCATTTTACAATAAAACAGATATAGATATATTTGTTTAAGGTTGCGCTGCTTGTGCACAAGTCTCTCCATGAGCACACACCAAAATACATCTGTGACATCCTATTGCCATTTAAACCAATTAGGACTCTGAGGAGCACAAGGACTGGCCTCCTGCTGGGACTCTGGGCAAGACAGGGACTGGCCTCCTGCTGGGACTCTGGGGAAGACAAGGACTGGCCTCCTGCTGGGACTCTGGGGAAGACAGGGACTGGCTTCCTACTGGTCCCCTGAGAGACATGTTTCTTCTCTATTTAAAAACAGTTCTGTTTTGGCAACTGAAGGATTGTATATTCTCTCTAGATTATTTAGGATTTTAATGCTTCTTTTCTTGTTTTCTTCAGCACTTTGTGTTGTTTGTGTAAGCCCTCAGTCGTACAGGGATTAGTCAAAGCAAAGTAAGGTTTCTCACCCATCATCTGTACTTCTTAGCAACGTCGGGAAAACTTGCTAAGAAGTACAGATGAGGGGTGAGAAACCTTCCTTTTCTTTGAGTTGTTGTGTTGTGTAATAAATATGTCAAGACAAAACTGAACACTTTAAGCAACGCTAAAAGGTCAATGTGTATTCAAGATGGATGCCCTAAGGTCTGCGTTCATGTTTTAAATGATTACCAAACCAGTGGGAGGTGACTTTCACCTGACTGAGAGCAGAGACAGGGCCCTCATCACCATGGTTCTTGCCAGCAGGACCTGAGCCGCTGCGGTCACTCTCCTTAGCGCCATCACGCGGTCGTGTGGCGTCTGCAACGCAGCTGCCTGCTCCCCGAGGGTCACTCTGCCTGACGAGCTCTTGTCCACAGAGGTCTGACAGCCTGAAAGCCAAAGAAGGGAGGAGACTTTAGTACGGACCATAGACTGTAAACAGATGGAAAATGCTAACCCGCTAGCTCAATGAAGCCCAATGGGGAAGTGGTCATGGTGAAGTTTGGCTTCATTTCAAATCGTGTCAAATAGTAAGTAAGTAAGTAAATAATGTTTTTTGTTATAGCGCACTTTACAGACCAAGGTCACCCAAAGTGCTTTATAATGTTCGGAGTTCAGATATGGTTGCAATCACTCCACACCCGGTGATGACGGAAGCGAGACGCCGAACACACTGACGAATCAAAGCCTCCAACCAACACCATCCATTCACTCATTACATTCATACCTATTGTACATGTTTTAGTACATGTACAATGGTGGTAGGGGAAACCGGAGCAATCGGAGGAACCATCGCAGACACGGGGAGAAAATGCAAACTCCACTCAGAAAGGGTCTGTTCCAGGGGATTCGAACCCAGGACCTTCTTACAGAGAAGCGAGAGTGCTATCCACTCAGCAACCTTGCAGAACAGTCACTTCAAAACAATCAAAACCTCTTTTCATCATTGATTTTTAATCAATGTGAGTCTTGACCATCTATAGTATAAACCAGGGGTTCCCAAAGTTTTTATCCCGCGACCCCCATGATAAATGCGCTGTTCCTCCGCAACCCCCACCTCAACAGACCTTCCCGTCGCATTAAATGAGCACGTATTTCCTTGATTCAGAGTAACGTTTTGTACACACATCACACATCATATGAAGCATAGAGACTCGCCATGTTATCAGCGAGGACTGTCCACAAAACACGAGGAGACGAGATTAGTGGCGCGTAGTGTTGTGTACCGAGCTGCACTCGCCAGCCCAAAATAAGAGCCTTGCGTATTTTTATTCGCATAGTGACGCAACTGATGGGCATGGCGGGATCCCCCCTTAGCAGAGGTGGAGGGCATTTCTTGTGGCTCGCCCTCACTGTTCTCCGATCGCGGTAAAGAGGCCCGGCTTTTCGGAGTCAGCGGTTAAGAGGTCCGCACACTAAAAGCGGGTGGCCGCTTTATGCTGTTACTTACGGTAACATAGGAAAGAGAAGCCACAGGGATGAGCAGCCACAATGCACTTTTTAACAACCTTGGAAAATACTTTCACTGCACACTCGTTCACTGTGGTGCCCTCGACTACTGTGCAAAGTAGCATTCACTTTTATTGTGGGAATTCCAAAAAAATGGGAGTCAAAGTGTGCAATACTTAAAAAAAGAAATCTTGTTAAATATTGCACACTTTGACCCGCATTTTCTTGGAATTTCCACAGAAAAGTGGATGTCACTTTACACAATAGTTGAGGGCATCACAGTGAGCAAGTGTGCAGTGAAGGTATTTTCTAAGGTTATTTTTATTTTATTTTTTTAATTAATGTTAAAAAGTGCATTGTGGCGGCTTGTCCCCGCGGCTTCTCTTTACAATGTAACCACAAGTAACAGCATAGAGCGCCTACCTGCTTTTAACGTGCGGACCACTGCTTTACCACTGACTCCGAAAAGCCGGGCCTCTTTCTCTAAGAGGGTTCTCCGCTACCCTCTTAGATGTTCCCTCTGCCTCTGTCTCTTCCCACCATCAGCCTGACCTCTGACACATGTGACTTTTCTCCCTCTCCGGGTTTTTCTGTTGTGGATATTAATCACTTTTCATATTAAAGCAGTTATTACAGAAAGTATTCGGCCCCCTTGAACCTTTCAACATTTCGCCACATTTCAGGCTTCAAACATAAAGATATAAAAAATAAATTTTTTGTCAAGAATCAACAACAAGTGGGACACAATCGTGAAGTGGAAAGAAATTTATTGGATAATTTAAACTTTTTTAACAAATAAAAAACTGAAAAGTGGGGCGTGCAATATTATTCGGCCCCCTTGCGCCAATACTTTGTAGCGCCACCTTTTGCTGCAATTACAGCTGCAAGTCGCTTTGGGTATGTCTATCAGTTTTGCACATCGAGAGACTGGAACTCTTGCCCATTCTTCCTTGCAAAACAGCTTGAGCTCAGTGAGGTTGGATGGAGAGCGTGTTTGAACAGCAGTCTTCAGCTCTTTCCACAGATTCTCGATTGGATTCAGGTCTGGACTTTGACTTGGCCATTCTAACACCTGGATACGTCTATTTGTGAACCATTCCATTGTAGATTTGGCTTTATGTTTTGGATCATTGTCCTGTTGGAAGATAAATCTCCGTCCCAGTCTCAGGTCTTTTGCAGACTCCAACAGGTTTTCTTCCAGAATGGTCCTGTATTTGGCTCCATCCATCTTCCCATCAATTTTAGCCATCTTCCCTGTCCCTGCTGAAGAAAAGCAGGCCCAAACCATGATGCTGCCACCACCATGTTTGACAGTGGGGATGGTGTGTTCAGGGTGATGAGCTGTGTTGTTTTTACGCCAAACATATCGTTTTGCATTGTGCCCAAAAAGTTCGATTTTGGTTTCATCTGACCAGAGCACCTTCTTCCACATGTTTGGTGTGTCTCCCAGGTGGCTTGTGGCAAACTTTAAACAAGACTTTTTATGGATATCTTTGAGAAATGGCTTTCTTCTTACCACTTTTCCATAAAGGCCAGATTTGTGCAGTGCACAACTGATTGTTGTCCTATGGACAGACTCTCCCACCTCAGCTGGAGTTATCTGCAGTTCATCCAGAGTGATCATGGGCCTCTTGGCTACATCTCTGATCAGTCTTCTCCTTGTTTGAGATGAAAGTTTGGAGGGACGGCCGGGTCTTGGTAGATTTGCAGTGGTCTGATACTCCTTCCATTTCAAAGTGAGTTTGCTGCACTGAAAGTAAAGGGGCCGAATAATATTGCACGCCCCACTTTTTATCCAATAAATTTTGTTCCACTTCACGATGGTGTCCCACTTGTTGATTCATGACAAAAAATTAAGATTTTACATCTTTATGTTTGAAGCCTGAAATGTGGCGAAATGTTGAAAGGTTCAAGGGGGCCGAATACTTTCGCAAGGCACTGTATTTGTTTGTAGCCTCCAAAAACCTTTAGCTTTGCAAACAACAGCAGGACACGCTTTGTCGCTGCGCATAATGTAAGCTGCGTAACTTGATTTTGATTGACGCTGCCAATGACTGGGACAAAATTACAAATGTAATTACAATATTTTATATTTTTTTCAGACTCTTCTCCAAACACAATTTAACAAGTATTCCTTTTGAATCAAATCAAATGCAAAATAAATATTTAAGGGCTAAATATTTGTTCTTTTTTTTCCGGAAATCATCTTGCGAGCCCCCCCCGGGTTCCCGCGACCCCCACTTTGGGAACCACTGGTATAAACAAGTACATTGAATATGGCCCCTCCACTTAGGCATAACCAGCGACAGTGGGCAGGCTGTCCCATAAGCCGCATTTCCACCGCAGGAACTTCAGGGTAATTTTACAGGGCCAGCCCCGTTGGTGTAAGAACCTCCTCCACAGGGCCATTTACAGGAACTTTTACGGGGCCCAACAGAGTACCTCCTCTATGCTAGGTACTCCCTGAAAAGCTCCTAGTGGGGCCTGAGGTGAACTCTGCGCCGATTGGCTAAAGTTAGAGCAGACTCGTCTGACACCAGCAGACACCACCGAAACAACCGGCATTTTTTAAATCCAGCAGCATTAGCCTAGTAGACACCACTGGAAACTGCAATCAACAACAGCAAGATGTACAATAAATGGATGGATGATGACCCCCTCATCATCCATCCATTTATTGTACATCTTTGAGGCATCGCAGTGAAAGAAATAATAAGACATATCAGGGAACCTCAAAGCACTGGGGATTCATTACACTCCAAAACAATGACGTGAAAAGTAAAGCAGGACTATCCAAAACTCAAAGACCACAACAACCGGAGTGGTTCCGAGTTTCACTTATGCAGCGATTGAAACTCATAACATCACCGAGGGGTCCTACTCTGTAGTGGAGACACGGCCACTGAGAGGAGGGTTCCTGTAGAAGTTTCACCCCCTCCTTTTACCAAGAACTCCTGCGGTGGAAACGCGACTATAGATGTGCGTCTCACCGATCTGCAGGAGAGTCTCCTCCATGCTATTGGTGGCAGTAACCATTGCGACGGAGGCTCCAAGGGGGTCACTGTCTGAGAACTGCACGGCCTCAGGGACGACACAGCGCTCGTTCAGACCCAGAGGTCCAGACAGGAGCTCAAAATCCTCCTCTCCAGTCAGTTTTTCCTCCTCGTCCATGTCCAGCATGTCCCAGTCCTCTGCAGACAGCACAGGGGGAAACAGTACATGAGCTACTTTAGGTCGAATTAGAGCCACGTCTCTACTCTACTCTATTCTTCCTGATTGAAACTTTTTCCACCAGCCCGGTACCAGGTCCCTCTTTAGTCCCTCTTGGTCTTTGTTCTATCCAGGAAAAGCTGGTCCTATAGTGTTCTAACTGACAGTGATTGGCCAGAGCGCTGTTGGAAGCCATGATTACGAGGGATTTCTCCGGATACAAATGGCCCATAAACATCACATGCCTCAGAGAAGTATAACACATTGCTGACAGGCCAGGACGCCGTCTCTGTAAGGAAGCTGCTCAGGACTGAAACACCTCTGCTCTCATCTCAGATCAGCTCGGCCTGTTCCTACCGAGCCTGTTTGAGGCACATGTAAAATTATGCTTGTGTTTTACCTTCGTAGACACTGTCCTGTTTTCCCAGCAGGTCTGGAGCTTGGCCTTTGTACCTATTATAATAAAACACATACATGAATGACGGTGCAGTGTGGAATGAGGAAACTATAGCAAAGTGTAATCTAGCAGGTACAGTGGCAGATGCACTCGAGAGAGAGCAAGAAAGAGGGAGAGAGACCAGAGAGAACAGAGAGAGAGAGACCAGACAGATTTAGATAGAGAGAAGAAAGAGAGCAGAGAGAGAGCAGAGAAAGACCAGAGAGACATAAATAATTATGGTAATATTACCTCTCAACTACAGGCACCTTGGCCTTGCTCTTGATGGCCAAGTACTTCTCTCTGCAACTGCCACAGAGCAGGTAGTAGGGGTTCCCGCTGCCGCACTCCCCCCCAAACCAGCCGTCCACATATGAGCCGTTGCTGCGGTAACCCTGGCGGTTGGCACTGCGGCCACACCCTGGATGGCTCTTCTTCATGTGTGCGTTGAAGTTGGCCACGTTGGCTTCACACAGCTCACACACCACCACCTCGTCGCGGTCGTCAGCCTCGCACACATGCTGCAGGATGGACAAGCAGGCGTTAAGCCGGTATCAGGAAGGAAGTGCTCATGGATGGAAGAGTAGAAAAACCCATGCAACAACAGAACATCCACCACTTACAATCAGAAGGTTATGACATAATTTTTATCTTGGTTTCTATAATATTTGGTGAACTATTAACGAGAGACCAGAGAGTGATACCAGAGAGAGACCAGAGACCAGATCGAGACCTGAAAGAGACCAGAAGGACCAGATAAAGAGCAGTGTTCTTTAGCTATTTAAAAGGACAAAACCTTCACCCATTCCTTTATACTTATGACTGGTTAGACGTGAAAATGGAAAAAGTGTGTACAAAGCAGCAGATGAGAAAGCCGGTGAATTAGGCTGCACAAATACGAATACATGTTAATATATTAAACTACATCAATAAACTAAATAATAAATAATATCGAGACACTGGTAATGCATTGACAGCAGTCTGACCAAAAGTTGAAGGTGGAACACATTTTGGGGCTGAATCATGCATCAATCCTTCTCTGCTACTTAATCCGTTGCCGGTTTGCAGGGGCATCAGTCTGAGCAGAGTGTGTCTTGGGTTCTCCTCTGGTCTCCTCCCGATGGGCCACACCGGGAACACCTCCCCAGGGGGGTATCCAGGAGGCACATTATAATTACAGGCTCTTTTATGCAAATTTCTCCTGTGTGAGATGAATAAAGTCTATCTTATCTTATCTTATCTAGGTAAGTGCTGGTGAGTAGGACATTGATGTATTGTAAAAATTTCAGGCAGAAACAACCAGCTTTTCGGTACACTTGTTTATGGAACTGACTTGTATGTGAACTATGTTTTATTGTATTTCAATGTGGCCTCATAATTAAGGCTATTTAAAGTATAGTTGGAAATTTACTGACACTTTGTTGTGCAGCCTGCATGTTTTAAAGCTGATAACCATGGGTTTTAGACAGACAGTTTGAAAGAACACATACAGACAGAAAATAGTTTGAAAGAACACATACTGTACTATGGAAAATTTGAATTTAAATTATGCTTTTGGTTTTTGAGCTATGTTCATTAAAAACAGCCTCTCTAACCTGAGAGAGAGAGACCAGAGAGAGAGAGAGAGACCAGAGAGGGAATATAATTTTAACCATCAATTTTAACCACAAGATTCTAAAACATAATAAGGACCAACATTACCAAAAATAATCCATAATATGTGTGCCTGTTCATTAAAGCTGGGGTAACTCATAAATAACCCATGCTTGTCCCAACCTATAACATTTCAAGATCTTGTCTTGGCTGCCTTCATCTTATCATCTTTCTATCTTCTATCTATCTAGAATCAGACTGTTTAAGATCCGGGAACTAGAGACATAGGTTTATTACAGAGTTATTGTTGTCGTTTAGAAGTCATGTTCCCCAGTTTTAATGCTTCTGAAGCCCATGGATAAAAGCAGAGTGAGCGGAGCAGCCAGCGGGAGCATAAAGTCACACACACCCAGGTTGGCCAGTCCAGTACCTCTGGGATCCACATTCCCAGAATATCAGAGTCGGAGCTCATTTCCTGCCCGAACATGGCCTCCATGGTCTCCTCGTCCAGGTCCATCTCAAGCTCCTCGTCCAGGTTGAAGTCATACAGAACCCCGGGATCTTGCTGCTGAAGGGGAGGGATGTCTCTGCGGCTTTGACTGTGGTGGGCCTGGACCGAGCGGTAGAGACCAGCTGAGGAGAATCAAACACAGGGATTAGGACTGGATTTAGAGGCTGTGGAGAGGGGGACACAGGGATTAGGGCTGGACTGAGAGGTACAGACCCGCTGTGGAGGGGAGGACATGGGGATTAGGGCTCAACTGAGAGGTACAAACCAGATGTAGAGGGGAGAACACAGGGATTGGGTTTGGATTGAGAAGTACAGACCAGACGTGGAGAAGCGGACACAGGGATTAGCGCTGGATTGAGAGGCTGTGGAGAGGGGGACACAGGCATTAGGGCTGGACTGAGAGGTACCAACCAGGTACCAGCTGTGGAGTAGTGGACAAGTGATTAGGGCCGGAATGAGAGGCTGTGGAGAGAGGGACATAGGGATTTTGGCTGGATTGAGAGGCTGTGGACAGGTGGACTGAGAAGTTGCCACAAGCTGTGGCAAGGCAAGGCAAGTTTATTTGTATAGCACAATTTCAAACACAAGGCAACTCAAAGTGCTGAACAAATTAAGATAGCATTAAAATTATAAATAATCACATGTACAGTACATTAAAAAGAAAGATAAGAATTAGGACAGGGACTCGATTACAAAATTAATCTAATTAATTAGAGGCTTTGTGATTAATTAATCGCAGTTTAATTGCATATAAATATTTGTCCTGAGAACAGTGAGAAGTAACTTTTTTTTCACATGGATTTTTAGTTTAGGTCAAGTCAGGAGGTGGTGTAAATGTGTACGCTCATTTCAACCTTCATTGCAACACGCCAAAACACGCACGAAATGCAAGATTTGGACAACAAAAAATATATTCCCACTCTGAAACTTATCCTCCAGTGAGGAAGGTTCTGGGGTGGAAAATACACATGCGATTAAAATGCGTCAATTTTTCTAATGTGTTAAAGTCCCGGCTCTAATAAAAATATAAAACTCGTCAGTTGTATGCACAGCTAAGTGGTTTTAAATATTGTCAGAGAGGAGGCCTGTCTCACACTTTCATGAAGATTGTTCCAGATTTTAGCAGCATGAATCTGAAATGCAGCCTCCCCATGTATAATTCTGACTCTGGGCACTAACAGGAGTCCCGTCCGTGTGCTCCTCAGAGTCCGGGCTGGTTCATATGGTACTAACATGTCACTAATATATTTTGGTGCGAGGCCATGGAGAGACTTGTACACAAGCAGAACTGTTTTAAAGTCTATTCTCTGAGCCACAGGAAGCCAGTGCAAAGACCTGAAGACTGGACTAATATGATCAAACTCTAGTCAGGACTCGAGCTGCTGCATTTTGAATGTACTGCAGCTGTTTTACAGCCTGTTAGGAGAGACCTGTAAGCAGGCCATTGCAGTAGTGGAGACCTACTGGAGACAAATGCATGGATAAGAATCTCCAAGTCTGCTTTAGACACTATGTTTTTGATCCTGGCAATGGGCCTCATTCACGAATAACTTCGTAAGAAACTTCTCAAATTTCTTCTCAAGTTGTCCTTAAGTAGATTTCTAAGAAGTCCCTACGTGGGATTCATCAACGCACTCGTAAGCCGCTGAATTGTTCGCAGCTGTTCTCTTAGATTGATGAATCCCATTTCCCGTAAGTAGAGCGCGCGTGCCAGGTGCTTCATTAGCATAGGTACTTAGCATAAGTAACCGCCCATTAATGCCCATATAAGGGACTGCAGGGCCGTGTGCAGACGGCAGAGGAAACAGCAACAGGCCTAAAGCAAAGAGTTACACGGAGCAAAAGAGTCACCCTTTTTTCTTCTTTTGCCAGACTGAGAATAAAGTTATAAAATGTTGACTTAAAAGTCGAAATATTATGAGAATAAAGTCGAACTAGCAAAATTATGAGATTAATCTAAGAATATGATGAGATTAATCTCAAAATGTTATGAGCTTAATTAAAAAATATATTATGTATTATTTTAAAGATGAATCTCAAAATGTTTTGAGATTAATCTCAAAATATTTTGGACCCTGGGAGGAGATCCAGCGCGGACCAGCGCTTAGACCAATGCAGACCCGAGGAGAGACTGGAGTGACCAGCACACAGAAACCAGCGCGGACCTATAGGAGAGACCGCATAGACTGTAGTGACCTGACTGGAGAGACCGGTGCGCAGAGACCAGCGCGGACCGAAGAGAGACCGCATAGACCAGACTTGAGAGACCAGCGCGGACCCGTATGGATCCAGGAGCATGCAGCACGGACCCGTATGGAGAGACCAGTGCAGACCCGTCTAGAGCCATGGGAGAGACCAGTGCAGACCCGTCTAGATCCATGGGAGAGACCAGTGCAGACCCGTATAGATCCATGGGAGAGACCAGTGCAGACCCGTATAGATCCATGGGAGAGACCAGTGCAGACCCGTATAGATCCATGGGAGAGACCAGCGCAGACTCAGCGCGGACCCCGTAACCTCCTGCAGCAGCAGTATATATGCCGTTGTTCTGTGGCCCGTGGATAAAGAAATGCCCCCTATAAATAGGAAGGGGTCACTAATACACGGCAAGATTTCCAATGTATTTGATAAAGCGTTGGCACATTTCATTTCAAAATGAATTAAAAAGTAGGCCAGATCTGCAGTGAAAAAGGCGGTATATAAATAAAGAATACTAATAAAGATTACTACAAATAAATAAATACATACATCGATATGACGGAAATATCACTGGAATGTTGTATTTTTATTAAACTTCACCAAAGAGGACAACCCCGGCGTGTGAACATGTCGGCACTGAATGCGTACGAGTGCTCCTGAGGACTCGTAGGATTTGTACTTGCCCAAGAGAAATTCTGGTTACGAGAAAAATTCGTGAATGCCACTTTCTTCGTAAAAACCTCGTAAGTAGAATTTACGTACAAATCTGTTCCTAAGAACCGTTCGTGAATGAGGCCCAATGTTTTTTAGATGGTAAAAAGCTGCTGATGTTACGGATTTGATGTGGCTATTAAAGGGCCCATATCACGGTTTTTGACTTTTCTCTGCTTTAAACATGATTACAATGCTAATTGGCCTTCATACACAAGCCCATAGTAGTTTATTCATTGATTCTGTCAATCTTTTGTAAGAGAGCAATCTGTCTCCTTCCCCAGCGTGAGGCACAGAAACGCTCGGGTCCACTTCAGTGACGAAAACCACACTGATGACGCGCATGACGCGCATGACCCCGTTTGCTTTGTATTTAAAATAGTTGTTAAATACTTTTGTCAAAACGGGGTAAACAATACACAATTAGTATGCTGTTTTTTGTCAAAAATAATAAAAATAAATTAAAAGCCGGCGGGAGGTGATTGACTGATCAAAACAGCGAATCAGAGCGCACAGGCTCCAGCTCCCGAGTCCAGCGTCTGTGGTCTGGTCTCTGGACACCACATAGAGCTGTTGTTTTTATGCTTCTGTCAGCAACTAAAAGTGTTAGGATCATGTCAACTTGAATGAGGTGTGTTATGGGTGTAAATATGTGACACACTATTTGGCCCTAAGAGGAAGAAAGCGGCTCAACTTTTTTCATCTGTTCATCTCATGGATCTATTATAATACCGGTTCATCTGCGACACTTCACTGAGACTGTTCCAGAACTACAGGGACAATGGAACTGGACTTACTCAAAAGCTGATCTGGAAACACGTTTATCCCACGGTAAAAAACGTAACTCGGACCCCCTCGATCATTAAGTAGTGACGCTCACTGCATGAAAAGTGTGATTTTCGTCTCTTTTCGGCCCTGTATATTACTGTGAAACTTCTGGGATTCGGCTGTTGACGGTAGTTTGTTGTCCCCTCCTCCCTCCTCCACAGGAGGCTTTAACATGTAAATGCTGTGAGCTATACAAATGCTAATCAGGGTTGATGGGGAGCACAACTTGATCCAAGCTGCACAACTATTCAGTCAGTCTGCAGCATGGATCAGGTCAGCACACTGTAGACCCGCATTTTGTAAATGCTCAAACTCACACACACACACACACACACACACACATCAGAGAAATATTTCATCATGATTGATTATAGCTTGTCATGTCAAAATCAATTAAATAAATCCAATAGGACAAAAGACATGTTGAAAGTGTAAGTGCTCATCAAAGGATATATGTATGTACTGTTAGTATTAGATAGCAATATGGCCTACGTGCAGGACTGTACAAGGACTCTACAAGGACTCCATGTTATGACTATGATGTGACTGTCTCTTTGTGACACGTATGTCTTTCGATGTGTGACGTGACAATGACTATATAAACTGTGTACTGCCTTTATTCTGTCTGAGAGAAAGAAACAAAGTAAACCAGTGGAACTTGAGAGAAACTTAAATAAACTTCCAGAGTTTGGCGCACCACGATCCGTCTCTGTCTGCTGAATCCTAACAGATTTGGTGGAGAATGCGCGGCTCAGTGTGCGCCATTCTCTGGATTGTTTTGAGGGAGTTTTTTTTGTTTCTTTTCCTCTGCGTGAGAGATCGGCATGCTATGTCTGGGAGCGGAGATTCCAGCAGGCTGGAAGAGCTGTTCCTGGATGCTTCTTGTCGCTTCTGTCACTTTTGTTTTTTAAATTGAATATTCCGACGCGGAAAAGAGTTGGCAGACCTCTCGGACAGTCCTTGGAACCTGTTTGACAAGAATAAGGTAAGCAGACACCTTTTTATATGTAAAGTCTGCATAATTGGATACTAGCTAAATTTTGGTCTGTTTTTGAGGTCTGTCGAACTCTCTAAATTGTGTTCAAATAAGTGAGGATCCATAAAGTGTATAGGATCCATAAGTGAAAAGGCCATAAAGTGTATAGGATCCATGAAGTGTTGGCCATAAAAGTGTAGGATCCAAAAAGTGTTGGCCATAAAGTGTATAGGATCCATAAAGTGTTGGCCATAAGTGAGGATCCATAAAGTGTTGGCCATAAGTGAGGATCCATAAGTGAAACCATGGTGTAAAATTAAAAGCAATAAAAAGGGAAACGTGTTAAGGAGGCCTTTTGTCACAAAACGTTTTGTAATTAACCAATTCCAAGCTTGATAAATGACAAAA